GGCCGCCCCGCGGCTGAACCTGCGGCGCCCCCTACCGGGCGCGTGCTCCCAGCGGGCCTGCGGGAGACCGAGCGGGGGGCTCCCGCAGCGTTCGGAGAGCTGCGGGCGGCCGGGGGAAAAGGCTGGGACCGCAGCGCCACCCTCTGGGCGCAGCCGGGAAACGTGTTCAGGAGGCGTTTTCAGCTGGGTGGAGTGTGGGGCGTTCTGAATAGCTCTCCTAGAGTCACCCCAACAAGGTCACCACGAGTCTTAGGGGAACGTGATGATCTGTTACAACTCCCTTCCTATGGTGTTTCAGCCCAGAGCCCCTGGAACCGCTCCTGGAACACCTTCCTGCCTTCCTATAGGGCGTTAGCTACTGTAGATTAGTGAAAGCTGGCCCACCTTGGTTGCGAGCCAGTGTTTGATCAGCGATTGAAGCAGTTGTCTTGTAAGTGGGCAGACTCACAGTGACCGACAGGTTCACTTCAGGAGAGGGTCTTGAGTTGTCTGACACGACCATGGGCACAAATGCAGGCTTCTGATGTTTGTTAAATTTCCTGACCAGCTTTTCTGTCTTACCCAGCAAATATTTTACCAAAAGGGCCAAAACCGTTTCTGTGTACATATACATAACTTGTCTAACTGAAGCCATAGCATCTTATGATCAGTGTGTGAGGTTAGAACACAGAAACTGAGGGCCGTGTGGTGGTTAAGGTGCTGGATCCCACATAAAAGGCAGCAGTTTGAGTCCTGGACCTGGCAGCTTGCTTTCTCACTTTCCCTCGCTTTCTCCCACTCTCTCTGGTGAGCAAACGTGCCCTGCAGCATTTTTTGTTTTAAATAATAATCATGAATAAAAATTTTGAAAGAAAACAGAAACTGGGGCCAGCAGGTGGCGTAGTGGTTATGTCGCTGGACTCCCACAGGTCTGACCACTGCTCGAGTTCAGGACTGGTGTCTTGAAAATCAAGCCCAGAGAGTGTGCGAGCGTGCCTAAGATCCTGTTACCGAACTCAAATCAGGTTCTCTCGCCCAAGCGCTATAAAACCAAACCATAAGCACATGGTGTGATGAAGGAAAGCACGGCTTTATTGCAAAGCAGGGAGAGTGGGCAGCTCATGCTGAAAAAGACCCGGTCTCCCTGAGATGCTCCTCACATGTGTTTTTAAGGGCAAAATTAATGGTAGAGGTCCCAGGCACATGCATGATCAGTTTAGTGATTGGTTCAAGAGGTGATCATCTCATGGGCATTCTTGATTGGTGAGGCCTTAGATAATCAAATTTCTGTTCAGGTTTCTGGAGCCATTCAGCCTGGGGTCTCTGAGCTCACAGCCAGCAGTTTCCAACCTACAAAACATCTTATATTTCATTTCAATAATGAAAACCTTATCTTTCCTTTAAGTGAGAGTTTTAGAGGTCAAGTGGCCCTTATTCATGATCAATGTTGTTTGTCTCCTTAGTCTAACCAAAGTTTGAAGACTTACCCCTTACTCTGGGCCATTACAATGTAAATGGGCCTTATATTTCAAGAACCTTAGAAAATACATTAGGGGGGTCCCTGCTCAGTTTCAATCCCAGGAGGAGAAGGGATGTGGCTGACCCCCTGTGTGTGATTTCTCACTTTTCCTCTCACTGTCTCTGTCTCTCTCTCTCTCTCAGTCTCTCTCTCTGTCTTCCTCTCTCTCTAGCAAGTGCATGTGCCCTATGACTAAAACTTCTAAAAAAATAAAACAGAAACAAACTGCCTAACAAAGTCAAAGCGGTGGACTTGTCTCTGAGGGAAATGCAGAGGTGTGTGTATGGGGGCAATGGAATGGTCGTTCATTAATTAATTTCTCAGCCATAGCCCTGTGTCAAAGGACAGTCCACCTGCCAGAGGTGAGGTACTAGTCTTGACACCTGCCCTGGTATTAGGAAGAGTCACATGCCCCCAAGATTTCTGAGCAGGAGCTAAAATAATCCTCCTCCATTCACTTATTTGGGGGGATTTCAACATGCACATACTCTATCGCCGCTTTTTAAAATTTTTATCTCCAATAGATGTAACAGAATAATCCAATGTCCCACAAAAGGAATAAATTGCATGCTTACTTTTCAGTTTTAGAATGAGTCACTACAAAAAAAAATAAATAAGAAGGAAAAAATCTGACCCTGGAACCTCCGTTGTCCGGATTAACCACGCCAGCACATCCTAATGAATTGCAAAGATGCTCAGTTTCAGTTTATTCATCTGGAAAACAGAACTATGTCTTGCCCAGTAATCCCTCAAAGTTGCTGTGCGGATCAAGCAAGATCACATAGCGGACAGCGTGCTAAATGGTAAAGTACTCTACCAAGGTCAGACATCATCCCTGGAGTGACGAGATAAATTGAGCCATTACAAATATCACCCTTTGTCTGGGCGGGTGTTGACAAAGTAAACAAACAGATGACTGCTGTTAGCAGAGAGCGAGATAAGGCAAGCATAGGCTTTGAAATGAAAGCGATGCTACACTTCTTCCATAAGATAACATTCTACCCAGCCCATCAGTCACCCAGCTAAACTACGGGCTGTGATTTCTTAAACCCTGGCTCCTTCTAGTGGTCCTTCGTTCTATTACAAATGAGGTAACAGTGGTTGAAGAGAACTTGACTCTGAAATGTATTTGGTGCTGAGCTGAGCTGGTTCAGTGTCTGCCCACTTCATTTGAATAAGTTCATTTGAATAAGACTCTTACCATTGCATTATCTATTGCACAAACATGCCCAAGGGGGGATTTTTCATGACAATATTAAAAACCCATCAAGCAACCTCATAATCCTGCTTGTGAAAGAAAGATAAAGAAACAAATGGGGGAGGGGGAGACTGCCATCAAGAGTTAATAAAATTGCTCAGATTTTAATAAGCTCTTGTGTTCCATGGCTTCAATAAAAGGGAGACAGATGATATTCATTTGAGATGAGAGGTGTCGAAGGCACGGTGGGCTACCCGATAAGAAAAAGGAACAAGGGAGGGCCGAGCAGTGACTCAGTGGTAAAAGGCAAAGGTCTGCAAGTTAGACCCACATGGAAGGGTTACTCATTCGCATCTAGATATCTCCACACACGTGCACACCCATGATCCAGGCTGACTAAATCTGTAGGTGGATCTCAGCATCAGGACCCTACTGGGGATGTTGTTCCTCTCTATCACTATCTCTCATGAAATAAATAAATAAGCTTAAGAAAAAAAAAAGACGTCTTCTATTTTAAAAGGACTACTGATGGAGGAACACGGGGGCGCAGGCGTGATCAGGCCCACACTTGCAGTGAGACATAGGTTCTTGTCCCATGTTCAGGAAGAATTAGTCATGGGCACAGAGTAGGTATAGTAAAGCGAGGAATTTATTGAGAGGGGACCAAAAAAAGCTCCCAAGAAGAAAGGGATACCAGGGACCAGCAGTTAGGGTAATGGCTATGTTGCTGGACTCCCACGTAGTCAACCACGGTTCCGTTCTGGACCCGGTGGCTTAAATTCACACCGGGTGTGTGTGCGTGTGTGCCCAAGACCCCGAGAGGAGAATAGAGGAGAAGGGATTGTGGCATGGCCATCCCCCCTGGGGGGTGATTTCTCACTTTCTGTCTCTCTGTCTCTCTCTGTCTGACGAGCACATGCGCCCTATAGTGAAACTGACGAGCAAAGTCGCCCTATAGTGAAAACCTCTAAAAAAAAAAAAAAAGAAAGAAAGAAAGAAAGGGATACCAAAAAATAGGTTGCCAAGGAAAAACTGTGGTGACGGGTTTTTATGTGAGTCAGGAAAGGATTTATCTGGACTTGTTCTAGGTGGGTTGGGGTACATACTGGATGGGTACAATTATTTTCCTAATTTTGGAGTGGGTACCAAGGTTAGGAGACTGTCTAGAAGCGTTGGACCATGAAAACCATTATCTTATCTTCTTCCTGGAATGTGGTAGGGCCTTGAAAAAGCCTTTGTTTTAGGTCTAGGTCATGCTGCCTAGGTCAGTAACTGAGCCATGACTGCCTCCATCTTAAAACTTAGCCATTTCGTGACACCATCTTGGGCCCATAACCTAACTATATTTATAGGGTTCCTGTTTCCCACCTCACTACTGCAGTGGTTCTCATACTGTGTGTGTGTGTGTGTGTGTGTCTGTGTAAAAGAATCAAGTCTGCCCACATTCTCTTCAATATTTACAGGCAAATGCTATACTTGTTTCAGTAAACACTCCATCTTTCTATTTTTTTGAAAGAGAGATTTTGGTATAGGTGCATGTGCATGCTGGAGACACAGAGACAGAAAGTGAAAAGGCATGGGGGATAGCCATGCGAGAGTCCCCTCTCCTCCATTCTCCTCTCAAGATTTTGGGCACATAGGCACATGCACCAGGCATGAGTTTTAAGCTGCTTTGTCTGGGATGGAAACTGTGGTCAACTATATGGGAGTCCAGTGACATAACCATTAAGCCATCTGCTGGTCCCAACACTCCATCTTTCTTGGAGCTGGCTGGACAAGACACTATGCTTCTTACCTTACTTACCATCTTATGTTCCCTGCTCTGTATTCAGTTCCAATACTGCTCAACTTGTTACCGAACTCAAATCAGGTTCACTCGCCCAAGCGCTATGAAACCAAACCATAGACTCATGCTGTGATGAAAGCAAGTATAGCTTTATTGCAAAGCGCAAAGCAAGGAGAGCGAGCAGCTCATGCTGAGAAGACCTGATCTCTGAGATGTTCCCCACAAGTGTTTTTAAGGGCAAGATTAGGGCCAGAGGTCCCAGGCACATGATCAGTTCAGTGATTGGTTCAAGAGGACGTGATCATCTCGTGGGCGTTCTTGATTGGTGAGGCCTTAGAAAATTCAATTTCTCTTCAGTTCTCTGGAGCCATTCCGCCTGGGGTCTTTGAGCTCACAACCAGCAGTTTCCAGCCTATAAAACATC